CAAAAGGTCGGCAGTTGGAATCCACCAGCCCCTCCTTGGAGACCCTGTGGGGCAGTTCTGCTCTGTCCTCTAGAGTTGTCATCAATCAGAATCAAATCAACAGCAACAGGTTTATGTCTTTGGCTTTGTGGTTTTTATCTAGAAAATTTCTCATTCCCCTGGGTCCTCGTTTGTCTGCAACATTGAGCAGGTCAGTGATTAATGATTGCACTTGTTCTTTAAATTCCCATTTCTAGGAAATTCAAGGAAAGAGCCAGGAGGCACTGACCCAGGAGACTAGCTCGGGGTGAACAGGGATATTTCTAGGACACCAAATAGAAAGTACACCTGGAGGACACAGGGGTTCTTTTCCAATTAAAACACAACTGTTGGCTGTTTACTTGCTGCATGGTCACGTCTCTTTTCGAGCCCTGAAAAAGAGGCACATGCAATTTATCTCCAGGAATTACAAATAATAAAAATAATAATAATCAGTTGAAAATGTTGCTTTAAAAAAAAAAAAAAAAAAAAAGCCTGAATTGTCAATCGGGGATCAAACACTTCCATAATGAAGTTTAAAAAAAAAAAAAAAAAGTTAGCTCAAGTGAAAAGCTGAAACTTCTGATGCCTTTGAAACTCCTTTTCAGTTCCAGAAACAATATTGTAGACCTCAGGGTCCACCTCTCTATCTTGATGTAAAACTCACCTAGTTCCCATCAAGAAGTAGTCTTGGTCGCAATTACAGTATTTAATGACCAAAGTGAAAAACTGGATTCCTGACTGACCCCAGCACGTTAGCTCTTTATGCTCAAACGATGTAACAGACCAGCTAAGGAGACCCCACCGTGCACGCCTTTAAATGTTATCGAAGGTCCGAAAGCAATTCTACTCTTTTTAAAATCCTTTTGTGCGCTGGGTCGTTATCACCACAGGAGTGACTTTCCCGCTGTGGGCTCATGATTCATAGAGAGAGCTTCCTGTCATTTGTCTTACCTTTGTGACATTACAATTTCATTAAATATTCCTCTGGTTTCCATGCTGGCGGGCAGCGAGTTAAGGACCGTGGGATTGGCGTGCGCCGCGTGTTACGTCATCGGATCCTCTCTTCATTTTTTATTTCTTTTCATGTAAAATCTTTATAGCTTGCACACCTCTCAGGCACACCCCCCCCCAGGACCTCGGATAACTGGGGCTGCCTTTCCCCAGACCTTTCCATCCATCCCTTCACCTGGAATTACGGAAGTCATTCTTTAATGCAAATGTTCACGTTTTCCAAAAGCAGTGATGCCCGCTCCTTGCTGCCGAATAGAGAAGCCCAGGTCCCACCCGCAGAGATTCTAAGTCAGGACGTCTCTAGGGTGGAGCCCAAGAATCTCTGGATGTCTTAGGGTCCCAGGGCTGCCACGACAAAGCACAAAAAAGTTGGTGGCTTTTAACCGAAATTTATTGTCTCACATTCTAGAGGTTGTTGTTATATGGTGTGCCATCAAGTGGATTCCGACTCATAATGACCCTGTATGACGGAGCAGAACTGACTCACAGGGTTTCCTGGGCTGTAATCTGTACAGGAGCAGATCGCCAGCTCTTTTTCCCCGTGGAGCCGCTGGGTGGGTTCCAACCACCAACCTTTCGGTTAGCAGCCGAGCATTAACCCGTTTCGCCACCAGCTAGAAGTCTGAATTCAGGCTGTGAGATCCTGAGCAGGGCTATGATCTCACAGAAAACTCTAGGGGAAGATCCTTGCTTGTGTCTCCCAGCTTCAGGCAGCCCCAGGCTCTCCTTGGCTTGGAGATGTGCCTCCATGTGGCCGTTGTCCCTCTCTGTCTCTCTGGGGCTCTTCTCGTTTATAGACCACCACTCCGGCGGACCCACCCTTCTCCGGTGTGACCTCACGCTAACCAGTCACATCGATTTCCCAACAAGGTCACCTTCACAACAGGTACCAGGGGTTAGGACTTCAGCAGAAATTCTGGGGGAGACACAATTCACTCCATCACGCAGGCTGAAAAACTTCCCCAGGCCATTCTCATTTGCATCCTGAATTGTCAGGATTATGGGAAAAGCAGAATTGGAGATTTGATTTTTTGTTTTTAATTTTTCTTCTGCTTTAGGCAAAAGTCTACAGCGCAAATTAGTTTCTTATTCAAAAATTTATACACAAATTGTGTGACATCGGTTGCCATCCCTGCAATGTGTCAGCACTGTCCCCCTTTCCACGCTGGGGTTCCCTGTGTCCGCTTGTCCAGTTTTCCTGTCCCTTCCTGCCTTCTCGTCTTTGCTTTTCAGCAGCTGTTGTCCATTTGATTCGTATCCGTGATTGAACTAAGAAGCACATTCCTCATGTGGCGTGTTGTTTGTCTTACAACCAAGCACGAGACCCACTGCCATCGAGTAGACTCCAATTCATAGCGACAGGGTCTAATCTTTTCTGAAGGTGGACTTCAGGAGTGGCTTCACTTCTGAGTTAGCAGGGTATCCAGGGGCCATAGTCTTGGGGTGGAGATTTGATTTCTGAGTCATGTGTTTTCATTTCCACACAAAGGCCAAAACACAGCACCAAAGAAATCATTTTCGTAACTTGCTCCAAGGAAGTATATCCTCAATTCAGAAGATTTAGAAACAATACAGGCAGTCCCTGGATTACGATCCATTCCTAAATCTGTCTTTAAGTTGAATTTGTAGTTAAGTCAGAACAGGTACGTACGGTTCCTATTTAGCTTCAGTTAGTCAAATGTTTGTCTCAGTATATAGTATATACTTTACCTTTCTATGCATATAAAAGGAACCCTGGTGGAGCAGTGGTTAAGACCTCACCTGCTAACCAAAAGGTTGGCAGTTCGAATCCACCAGCTGCTCCTTGGAAACTCTATGGGATGGTTCTATTCTGACCCGCAGGGTCCCTATGAGTCAGAAACAACTCGATGGCAATGGGTTTGTTTTGGTTTTGGTTTTATGCATATAAAACACTTAAGAAACACTTTCAAATACACAAAAACATCTTAAACAGAAAGTAGAGTGTGCGTTCGTTATTACAAACCATTGTATTTAAGTCAAATTTTGATGCAGTAGGCTTTATGACAGTTCGTTCTTAAGTACCAGTTCGTAAGTCAGATGTTTGTAACCTAAGGACCAGCTGTATCTTCCAAGCAAATGCAACATTTTCTTCTCAGTCGACATCATTTTCCAGGAATCCAAAGTAAGATCACAGCTTAACAATCTCTGCCTCTGTAGCGATGGTTCAGTGGCGGAATTCTCACCTTCCATGAGGGAGACCCGGGTTCGATTCCCAGTCAATGCACCTCAAGTGCAGCCCCCACCCATCTGTCAGTGAAGACTTGCATGTTGTTATGATGCTGAACAGGCTTCAGCAGAGCTTCCATACTAGGATGGACTAGGAAGAAAGTCCTGGTGATCTACTTCTAAAAAATCAGCCAATGAAAACACTATGGATAACAAAGGTCCCGTCGCATTGTGCACGAAGTCACCGTGAGTTGGAGCAACAGCAGCTAGTAACGGCAACCACCTCTACCTAGAACACTTGTCCCTTCTGCTCACCTCCTTCTGCCCTCCCCAACAAAGTAAAAACAATACACACTCATAGAACCTCTAGAACTACCAAGTTCCAGATTATTGCATTGGGTACATCTGCTGCAGAAGACTTCTTTAAAGTGTTAAAAACGCAAAGATGTCACTTTGAGGACTAAGGTGCGCCTGACCCAAGCCATAATATTGTTAATCACTTCATATGCATGTGAAAGCTGGACAATGAATAAGAAAGACTGGAGAAGAACTGATGCCTTTGAATTATGGTGTTGGAGAAGAATATTGAATACACCGTGAACTGTCGGAAGAACGAACGTATCTGCCTTGGAAGAAGTACAGCCAGAATGCTCCTTAGAAGTGAGGATGGCGAGACTTCATCTCACATACTTTGGACAAGTTTTCAGGAGGGACCAGTCCCTAGAAAACGACATCATGCTTGGTAAAGTAGAGGTTCAGCAAAAAAGAGGAAGACCCTCAACAAGAAGGATTGACGCAGTGGCTGCAACAATGGGCTCAAGCATAGCAATGATTATGAGGATGGTGCAGGACTGGGCAGGGTTTCATTCTGTTGTGCATAGGGTCGCTATGAGTGGGAACCAACTCCACAGCACCTAACAACAACAACAACACACCAACATTGTCAAGTCAACATTTAATGAGTTTACTCTAAGGGAGGTATTATACTGAATACTAAAGCCAAGGATACCAATAAAATACGTACCTAAGCATGTACTAGGGAGCAGTGGTTTGTTCTGTGGTAGAATTCTCACCTTCCATGCAGGAGACCTGAGTTCGGTTCCCTGCCAACGTACCTCATGTGCAACCATCACTTGTCTGTCAGTGCAGTGTTCTATGTTGCTATGATGCTGAATAGGTTTTAGCAGAACTTCCAGACTAGGAGAAAGACCTGGCAATCTACGTCCAAAAATTAGACAATGAAAACCTGTGAATCACAATGGTTCGATCTTTTGTGCATGGAGTCATCATGAGTTGGGGTGACTCCAAGGCAGGTAACATGGAATTACTCAGAAACATAGGCGGGGCAGGGGGTAAGGCTCTGTGCCAGCATGGTAAACTCCAAATATAACATTTGTTAACATAAACTATATTTAAATGCATCATATGACTGATTATTTCTATGTAAGTCAAACATGGGGTAATGGAAAGAGTGTTGGATGGAGAAGATCAGTGATCTGGGTCTTCGCTCCATCTATGTCACTAATTGGCCTTGGACTTCTGATCTACTGAGTCTGGATTTCCAATGTCCTTCCCTGTTCCATGTTCCCAAGCTTTTATAGTCACCCTACTAATTATCAGAGCCCTGGTGGGGCAGTGGTTAAGAGCTCAGCTGCTAACCAAAATGTTCGAATCCTCCAGCTGCTCCTTGGAGCAGTTCTACTCTGTCCTATAGGAGCGATATTATCAATTTCTTATTACAGTTCTGTTTCTTATTCTTATCTCTTATTTCTCTTTTGCAGATTCTCTTCATGGGCATGATGACCGAGTACTATCACTACTTTTTCACAACCCTGGTAAGTCCTTCCAGTATAAACAGTATTCCACGAGATAGGAAATATCTCCCCACTGAGTTAAAGTCAACCCTACCGGTGTCAAAGGCAGGATACTGTCATGGAGCTTCACCTTTACTTTCCTACAAATTCTCTAAACCCAGTAATGCTGAACAGCAGCACTTTTTTTTTTTTCTTTCCTTTCCTTTTTTTTTTTTTTTTTTACTAGCATGAATGCATGTGCATCCAGAAAGGGATTAAAATGAAAATTCCATTAAATAGAAACTGTCAAAGTGCAAACTATCCATAAAGAAGCATCATCTAAAATTTCTATATTCATCAGAAGGAACGCCCAGGTGTGACCCTGCGTTCTTTGATCTGATGCGCCTGTATCTGGTAGATAGTTGGGTTAGCTGGGGATCATCTGTCAGGTGTTTGGAAGACCATCAAGACGGGAGTTTGGGAAATGCTCTATGCATTGAACATTTTGCATCGTTAAGAAAAACCATGATTTTGTAGGAATCCAAAAGAAACTGAAAAACCAAGACCAAACCATTTGCCATGGAGTCAATTCTGACTCATGGCAACCCCATATGTGTCCAAGCAGAACAGGGCTCCATAAGGTTTTCATGGCTGGGGGCCTTTCAGAAGCACATGGCCAGATCCTTCTTCCCAGGTGCCTCTGCATGGGTTCAAACGACCAACCTTTCAATTAGCAATCAGGCGTCTAACTATTGAAACCACACGGGGACTCCACAACACCTTCAACTGGGAAAGACGATCAGAATCAAGAGAAAACAATTTAGAGCATTTAACACATCAAAGGAGCCGCGGTGGCACAGTGGTTAAGAGCTCTGCTGCTAACCAAAAAGTCCACAGTTCGAATCCACCAGCCGCTCCTTGAAAATCCTATGGGGCAATTTTACTCTGTCTTATCGGGCCTCTATGAGTCTGACTTGACTCCATGGCAACGGGTTTAGTTTCTTTGGTTTTACCACATCGAAACTATGTGATATCTCTCATGCAATCAGTTTCTGAAATTCATCGCTTTCCCCTGATAAACACACACACACACACACACACTTTCTTGCATGAGAAGAAAATACAGATCCAGCCTCTTTTCTAATCGGAAAGGTGTGTCAACTGAAATCTACCTAGATTCCAGGGGATTCAGTAAGAGGACCATTTAACTAAATAAAAATTAGTGAGTAGGCAAGTCAAAGAATTCCGAACAAGAACGAGGCAGCTGTCACACTCATACTATTTGTAGAAGTAATAAATTACATCCCCCACCCAAATTCTCGCGAGCGTGGAGGGTGCACAGGACTTCACAGGACAAATGCTCTGGGGCAGTGGCCAAAATCATTGCTTCCAACGAGCATGGGGTGGAAGAGTAAGGGTGCAGGACAGAAGTTTCTGAACTAAGGTTTCGGTGGTCTTTCCCATCTTGACTTCCGGACATTCTGGTTAGGTCCTCTGTCGGAACAGTTCAGAGAAAACTTGGGAAATGCAAAGAGCAGAATGTCTCACTCTGAACTCAGTATGCCTCCTCCTTGGTCACCATGAACACGTGGGTATTGCACAAGGCCACTTGGCTCTCTGTCTCAGAACTCTACCAACCCTGGCTCTACACACCCCATTGTTTTTAGTTGACAACAAGACGATTCCAACTGTTGATGACACCATGTGTGCAGAGCAGAACTCTTCCACAGGGTTTTCAAGGCTGTGACCTTTCAGAAGCAGATCACCAGACCTGTCTTCCGAGACGCCTCTGGGTGGGTTAGAATTGCAGCTTTTTGGTTAGTTTGTCAAGCGCTTAACCCTTTGTGCCACCCAGGGCCTCCTTATACACTCCCAATAGCTGGTTTTGGAGAGGTTTGAGAAAAAATATGAACAATGGAACCAATGAAGGCTGACCTTCAGTGGAGACCAGGAGGGATGAACAAGTTGCTATACTTTTTATTCCTTTTCACCCCTCACACTCTTGCTTTCCTTGTTCTTCATTCAAAGGGAAATATTGTAAATCACACCTTGGGCATTCCACATTCTATGTTGCATAGAAACTTCACACTGTAGGTCAATCTAATTTTGCACATGTTTAATTTATTCATTTCAGCACATTGAATTCATGTCATATTGAATCCACAGGGGACTCAATATGCATTCTGGAAGTTTCTGCCTACCCTTCTATAGCTTGAGTAACTTCGCTTCTGTTGAATTAGTGCACTAAAAAATTGTCTTTTTGTAGGTCTTATTCTTTTAATTTGCTTCTTGAAGTACATACCTTTGGTTTCATCTTCATTCTGTCCTGTTTTGCTTTCCTATTCCTACTATTCTTGGCCATAAGTATTAACACAACTTAAAGAAAAAAGAAAATTAGTTACTCGTGCAAGGAAAAAAAGAAATTTTAACATTTAAAAAGGCAGCACACCTTTTCTGATACTTAACTAACTAGCAGTACAGAGCCGTGCCCTTACAGTTCAACCGCCTGATCCAAAGCTTTCCTGGGAAAGGGTATAGATGTAGAGAAGAGTTATCCAAAAGAACGATTTTGTACGCATCTTCTGCACATACAAATCATGGAGTGTTTCTGAAGCTGCTTCTGTTCAGTGACCATTGCCGTCGCTGATTTGTACTGTCTTATGGGGTACTTTTCATAATCCAGTCACATTGTTAGGATGTTTTATGAAAGCTTTTCCTTCCAGCAAAATGTTCTTTCAAAAGTTTATCCTTCGATGTGGTTTATTTTTAATGATATATTTTAGAGTCTAACCTTTTTATATAAGAAAAAATTAAGATTATCATTTAAGTCTGTTTTAAATGTGAATCAACTTCAAAACTTCTGGTTTCCATGCAGCCTCTTCTGTAATGGAGAACGTTGGGGTGTACTTACCATTGTTTCCTGAAACACGGTCTGAAAGGGAACTAGTTCTATAGTTAAGACGCTCACTCCCACACAACCAGATGCTCTAGCTCATTCTCCAAAGAGAACCTTTGGTTCTTATTCCAAGCACGTGTCCAGCGGGCGTTTTGCACGTCCTCACTGTATGGGACGTGAGTTACTGTCCGTGAGCCCAGGGTAACATTTTTTCCTGCTGGGAAAGGCAGCAAGTCTGAGGCAACAGTCTGAGGCAGCAAGATGTGATGGAGAGAGGGGTACCGCCCCCGAGGAGTCCTTCATTCTTGGACCGGTCCCATCGCCACTCAGAACCTCAGTTTTCTAATCTGTAAAATAGAAGCATTGAACCCAAGGAACACAAAGATCCCCTCCAACTCCACAAGGGCTGTATCCTAGGAAGAGAATTCTCTAATGTCTCAGGCATCATATCCTGTGTCCAAGGGCGTATTCATTATTGGCTTCCAAATTTCTCCCCTTGGCTTATCAAAATTCTAACCATACTGCAAAAAAAGAAATGGGTAAAAATGAAAAACTGCTCACTGCCGTGGAGTTTCTCAGGCAGCATGTGAATGGAAAGCATTGGGAAATGTTCTTTTATAGAAACTGTATAATAACAGCTGTCATTCTGGTCTATTGGTTGCTTCTGCAGTCATTAATTCCCTTGTGCCTAAAGAACATTGCAAATGTTAACTCTTTTCTACTTTTGTTGTTTGTAATACTGCACAGGACTTGTTTGCTTTAGATCTGGAACTCTATAGGTACAGCGGCGTGAATATGACTGGATTTCGCCTGCTGAAGACTGACAACCCAGATGTGTCGTCCATCATTGAGAAGTGGTCCATGGAGAGACTGCAGGCCCCACCCAGGCCCAAGACAGGCCTTCTGGATGGCGTGATGACGGTAAGTCACTTTCCTCTTCTTTTTTATTGTTGTAAGAACTATATATAACACAATGTTTGCCGATTCAACTTTTTTTACATGCACAATTCAGTGACACCAATTCCGTTAATCATGTTGCACACCATCACCAGAGCCCACTGAGAAGTGTCCCGTTACCATAAACAGATGCACAATACTTCCGAAACGATGCTTCCCTCTTTCCCCTCTCCTGCCCAATTGTTGTTGTTGTCAGCTCTGTCAAGCCGGCCACTGACTCATGCTGACCTCAAGGGTGTCAGAGCAGAACTGTGCTCCGTGGGGTCTTCGGTGGCTGATTTTTTCAGAAGTAGATCGTCAAGCCTTTATCCCGAGGCACCTCTGGGTGGACTCAAACCTCCAACCTTTCAGTTAACAGTCAAGTGTGTTACCTGTTTGCACCACTCAGAGATTCCTGGATGCCCCTGGTAACTGCTAATAAACTGTGGTATCTAGACACTTGCCTGGTCTTTTTGTGATTGCCTTGACAGTAAGTAGTTTTAAAATAAAATCGTTTTGAATAACGTTTGAATTCCTTAGGAGTTAAGAATGTCCTATGCCTTCGATGAAAAGTGTTACGACGTGTGTTCTGGTTCCCGTGAGAGAAGGAGGAGTAGGTTTGTTAGATAATATTCAAACCGGTGCCCAGCTACTACCAAAAACTGCTATTTTTACTTTCCTGACTGTACATGACTCAGTTGAAGTTGAAACGGGAAGGCAGCGGCCTCAGCCAAATGAAGGCAAAGCGGGAACCAAAGCAAGGGCAAGTAAAGAGAGTTTTCAGCCCCAGAACGTGGCCTTGGGGAGGGGAGGGGGTGGAATCACCTGCGTGAAGGTGGGGCAGAGTCAGTTTGCCCTCCTTGCTTCACCGCGTCTCAGCAAGCAAAGCACATGTGGGAAAAACGCCAGATCTACACAGACTCGGTGCCTTCCTGGTCTTCATATCCTGGACAGGTACAGGCACACCTCTGCAGACAAGACAGCGCTTAACGCCAGCCACCTGTCACTCTAGAAGCGGATGCCAAGCCCTCCTCCTGACAAGTCAGAGGTACTCGGCTGAACAGATAAATGGAAAATTGCCTCATCAGAGAGCTTCTCACTAACGTCAGCCGTCTTTTGCTGTCATACGAACCTTCCCTCACTTTATTTCTCTAATGAAGCTCCCCGTGTGATGAAGACAATAGCGGGAAAAGAAAAAAAAATTCTATGTCTGAACAGCATCATCTAAGGGGAAAGATATTGGGCAAGCTGGCAGGTAATAGCATTTTAAATTGGCATAGTGTTTCATCGTCTCTTCCCATCGTCCGGAGACGCGCTCATACTTTTAAGATGCAATTTACCGATAGCTGAAAGGTGCCATCTCCCAGAGAAATGAACTTGGGATTTCTTTTCTTTTTCCTTTTTTTTTTTTAATGAAAATTAGATGAAAAGAAGAAATAAATGAATAAATTAAGTGGTTCTGGATGATTCCGTGTTCAAGGTCCTTGACTGTTTTTCAAACCTGAAATAACCCTTAAAACATGCAAAGTGAAATGAGAGATAATGATAGAAATCATTTTGGTACAAATGAGCTTTGCTGTGCTTTGGAACACTGCTTTGAATATGAGCTAGTAGACAAAATCCAGTGAAATACTAGACTTCTGAAGCGGGCTGGGGGCGGGGAGCCGGAGAGAAAGAGAAGGAGAGAGATAGAGACACAGAGAGACACAGAGAGAGAGAAGCTAATATGTTAGCGTTTCTCTTCTTCCTCTTGGATTATAATTCCAGCGAATTCAGACATGATTCAAAACCCTCTGCCCACCTCCCAACAGATTTCCAGCGTAGGAGGAGAGCTCAGATAATTTTTTACCTGAGCTCAGGACGCACCACTAAGAGTTTACAGTTTGAAGCAATGTGAACACAAACTGTGGATTTGTGCCAAACATTAAATATTCATCTCAAGTACGGCTTAATTCACCAAAAAAAGCCTCCTTTGTGTTCAGTTATTCTGTGCTGACAGGACAGCTTGTACACATCCACTGAGATGTAGAAGACCGCTGAGCGAGGGGGATGGTGCCCTGCAGTTCACACCGAATCAGCCTGGGCATGAGGCACGTTGCTCCTCAGGGCTGCTACCGCGCCTGGGCAAATGGCAGTCCACGGGGCAGGGAGCGTGGCAGAGGCGGGTCCCAGGAGATGGGAGAAGTTCTGTTCTGCCTGGAGTTATTACTCTCATCCCACCTAAGAGAGAGGTTTCTGAGCTTTGTTATTGTTGTAGTTCATGTTATTGATATGCAAACTATAAAATGGAAAATAAGGATGAATTAGTCCAGAAGAGGGTGGCTCATCAGGGGCCTGTAAAAATGGGTAGAAAAGCTGTATCAGGTCATGTCCAATACTAGTCAAAAAAGTGGTAGAATGCAGGGCCCACCAGAAGCTGGACCCAAAAGTCATGCAGATACAGCTTTGAAGTTGATCATGTCAAGCACAGTATTGACCTTTACTTACCCAAAAAGTCCACTTTGCAGTTCAGTGTTTCCTTCTGTTGGTGGTGGTGATAACTGCCTCCAAGTCAGTTCTGACTCATGGCGACCCCATGTGTGTCAGTGCAGAACTGCGCTTCATGGGGTTTTCAAGGCTGTGAACTTCCAGAAGCAGATGGCCAGGCCTGTCTTCTGAGGCACCTCTGGGTGAGTTTGAACCACCAACCTTTCTGCCAGTACTCCAGCACTTAACCGTTTACACAACCCAAACCAAACCAAAAAAAAAAAAAAAAAAAACTTACTGCCGTTGAGTCAATTACAACTCATGGCAACCCTAGAGGACAGAGTGGAACCACCCCATAGGGTTTCCAAGGAGCGACTGGTGGATTCGAACTGCCAACCTTTTGGTTAGCAGCTAAGCTTTTAAGTACTGCGCCACCGGGACTCCCAGTGGGCTAATTTGGGAATGTAGAAACTGGGTCAAGGAGAGGTTAAAGGGCACATGCAAGGCTGTCCAATGGATCAATCACTGAGCCAAGAAAGCCTCCCAAGTCCCCAAGCCCAGGCGGGATGCTGACCCATCTTTTTTCTCAAGTTGCTTCTGTATTCACTGTTTCTTCTCCACCTGGAATGTAAAAAACTTTTGGTTTCAATTCCTTTGGGTCTATTTATCTCAGATCCTGGTAGTGTAGTGGTTAAGAGCTACGTCTGCTAACCAAAAGGTTGGCAGTTGGAATCCACCTTGGAAACCCTGTGGGGCAGTTCTACTCTGTCCTGTGGGTTCGCTATGAGTCAGAATTGACTCACCGGCAACACATTTGGTTTTTTTGGGTTTTTTCCTGCCTTTCGTTCATTCTTGCATGTCAAGCACTTGCTGTTTGCACTGCCTGCAGCCTTTCCCTCCCTCAGATATTTAAATGTCTGGCTTCTCACGATGTCCAAGGCTTACTCAAATGTCACTTCACAGACCGTCTCTGAAACCCCTTCCTAATATGGCAACCCCTGCCCCCATCATTCTCTCTTCCTTTCCGGCTTTCCATGTCTTCAAAGCCCTTATCACCTGATACATTACATTTTGATCTATTGTTTATTCACTGCCTTCCCCAGAAGAGTATAAAATCCATGAAGACAGAGACTTTTTTTGTTTTTTGTTTGTTTCTGCTCTTTTTCCAGCACTGGAAGAGAGCCTGGCACCAAGTAGGCCCTCAGTAAATATGTATTTAATAAACGAATTAATGTACTAAATAAATATGTATTAAGCTTCTGCTAAGATTCAAGATGTTCAATGAAAAATATTAATGCAGCTCTTCAATACATTTCTGAAAGTCCAAAGAGAGTTCCATTAAGTAAGATACATGCACAATTAGAGAAGATAAAGAGTATTTAAAAGTAATAATATTATTTCAAAGATTAGTCATAGGCTACTGTTAATGTTTAAATAATGCCATTACTATCATAGAATTGCGTTCTCCAAAAGTATAGGCTTTTTTCCACTATTCTACAAGATGGATTTCCCTGTGGTCCTTTTTAGCCATCTTTTTGTGTGTGCCACATATCTATATAGATCCATGTATGAATATACAGAGGAATTTCTTTAAAAATATAAGAAAAATCCCTGTATTTCGACTTCCTATCCACTTATCTATTTTCCTCTTTAATATTATGTATAATTAAGGATTTCTTAGAATTTCATATACTAAAAATATCTTTGAAAGATATTATTAAATGTCAAAATAATTTAAAACTGAAAATAGAGAAATAATTTTGTCCAAGTCTAAAAAGTCTTAACTCCAGACTTAAGAACAATCAATTTAATTAAAGAAAAAATATCAACTTTAAAAACAGGGTTAAAATTGAGTTAATTAAGAAAACTTTTACTGAGTTAATAGAGTTTAAAAACAGTGAAACTCATAAAGAAAAAAATCCTGAGATTAAGAAAAAATAAAGAGCATCCTATCAACTGAAGGTTTAACTCGCTAGAAGTTTTGAACGATTTTGTAAAAAATCAGCTTTCTTCCTTTTTATTACCCGTCAAGACCCAGTAATTTTCTCCTTTGAATTTTTGTTGATACTGTGTGTTTTGTGAGTTATGGCTTTTGAAACTCATTATCTGGGATCGCTTATGTCCCAGCAGCTTCTGGAGAACACAAATCCTGCCAATGTTAATGATAAAATCGTTTTTTGTTTTTTTTTTTTCCTTTGAAAATTTGTAAAACACAAGGTTAAACATGAAGGCACCTGGCAATGAGTGCAAATACATTTTATTCTCGTCTCTGTCTTCTTAGCCTTTTTATTATTTTTCATGAAACTTTTCAAAACATGGTACAATGCATTCTTCGTTGCTACAAAAGCAGTACTTACAGCCAAAATAAGTAAAGCAAGGCATTTTTTTTATCTTGGGAAAATTACCACCACAATGCATTCTTCATTACTGCAAAAGCAGTACTTAGTGGCAAAATAAATAAAACTAAAGGAATTTGAATCTCAGGAAAATTACCACTACTATGTATTATTCATTATAAC